GATCTGCGCCACAGCCTTTTCCAGATAAACATTTTAATATTGATATCCTTTTGACAGCTTTTGTTTTAATGTACTGCATCATCGTGTTTAAGTTCAGCCTAGAGTCCAGCATCACTCCCAAAAACTTGACGGTGTCGGTGTATGTTAACGGCTGGTTATATATATGTAAGTTAGGTATGTTCGTCATCTCTCTTGCCTTCATATACCTTCGAAATACAATTGCGTTGCATTTGTGAGGTGAGAAAAAGAAACCCCACCGATCAGCCCATGCACTCACATGGTTCAACGCCCCCTGCATTTTATTAACTAGATGAAAAATTCTCCTTCCCTGCACCCATAGAGAGCAATCGTCAGCGTACAGCGCTCGGGACACTTCACTCGGGACATTTCCACACACGTCATCAATCATGATGTTAAACAATATCGGGGATATAACTCCTCCTTGGACTAAGCCGTTTTCCTGTTCGAACGTATCCGATAATGTTCCATTGCGCACCTGGAAGGTTCTGTTATCAAGGTACGATCTAACGAAATACATAAGGCGTCCTCTAAAACCCATATTAAACATTTTTGTGAGCAGAGCAACTTTAGACGTGAGATTATATGCATTTTTAAGGTCCAAAAAAACGGCCAAGGTATATTTGTTGTAGAAAAAACCTTTTCTAATCTCGGACTCCAGCCTGACTACATGGTCTGTGGTACTTCTTCCATTCCTAAATGCACACTGATATTTAGACAACATATTGTTCCGCTCAAGAAACCAGGATAACCGTCTGGCGACCATTCGTTCCATTATTTTGCTAAAACATGAAGTTAGCTGAATTGGTCTATATGACTCAGGGTTTTCCCTAGGTTTGCCTGGTTTCAAAATAGGAACAATAATCGAGTGTCTCCATTCATCAGGGATATCACCTCCACACCATATGCAGTTCATCATTTCCAAAATTGAATGCAATTGTTCATCAGGTAGGTGTCTAAAAAACGCGTAATGTATCTCATCCGGTCCAATGGATGTATTGCCGCATTTAGCAATAGACATTTGTAGCTCAGTCATCGTGAATACATCATTATAAACCTCCTCATTGTCAGAAATAAATGACGGCATTTGATCCATCATCTGCCATTCCAGCTCTCTAAAAGTGGCTCGGTAGTTCCGAGAGGACGACATGTCAGAAAACAACCGTCCGAAGATATTTCCAACTTCAGTTGGGTCGTCAATTATGTTACCAGCCACCTTCAGAACAGGTAAGGGTCTCGCAGATCGCTCCTTTCTGGTAAATTTCCTAATGATGTCCCATAAGTGTTGTATCGGCGTATTCACATTGAACATATGCAATAGTTTTTCCCACGAATCTTTCTTTGCCGTACGAATTATCCTTCTGGCTTTCGCCTTCGCCTCCTTATAAGCCAATAAATGCAGATGTGTGTGCGAACGTCGGAATCGATTGAGCGCCCGTTTCCTTGCCCGAATTGCCTCCTTGCACTCGTCAGTCCACCAGGGGCAGCTATATTTGGTGTTTCTGATTTTCCGAGGAATACTTTCTTTTGCTGCTCCCAGCATAACCTTCGTAATGTTTTGGTAGTTTTGCATACCGTCCCTTTCATTGAATCGCAAACGACATCTGTCAGTAAATTCAGACCAGTTCGCCTTGTTAATATTCCAACCAGTAAATTCGTCACGTCGTGGTGGAATATCTCCATACCTATCATATGTAATATAAACTGGGAGATGATCACTGGAGTGTAAGTCAGTGTCCGTTTGCCAATGCATGAATTGTCCCACACTGCTTGACGTCACAGTCAGGTCGATATGTGACCATAATCCTGTGTACTCGTCCATTCTGGTTGGGGAACCATCGTTCATCACTTTTAAGGCATGTTGCCGTATTATCATTTCCCACACCTTTCCACGAGAATCGCACCGGTCTGCACCCCATAAGAAATGCCGACTATTGGCGTCCGTGTTTATGATATACGGCTGCGGTAGCTGTGTAACCAAGTCGTTCAGTTCAAGGTACGTCAAATTCTCGTTTGGTGGTAAGTATAAAGAACAAACACAAATACGAGAATGCCCCATTGTCACCGAACATGCCACCGCCTGAAAATTAGTATTTAGTGTGACCTGAAAATGAGGTAGGTCGTTGCTGACGTAGATTGATGCTCCGCCTCGTCTAATATGTGCGTCAGAATAAGCGTTATAAAGAGTATATCCGGGAATTCTGAAATCATATTGGTCAGTAGGGAGGAAGTGTGTCTCTTGGAGACATACGGCACTATGTGGTCTTGCCAGCAGCAGTGGTTTTATCTCCGCCCACTTTGAAATCACACCTCTACAGTTCCACTGCATAATGCTGAAAGTCATTTTATTGTTGCCTTAGACTGCAGACTCCGTCCAGTCAAGCACACACGCCGACAACAGTTCGACATTTATTGAACTTTTAAACTTGAACATCAGAAAATCACGCGAGTAGCCTGTACCGCGTACCATATCCCCACACACAAACATACAACCAATGCGCAGCCCGAACGCCGAAATCCAACAAAGGACCGCCACCAAAAACATGAAAAAATCAGATAAATAAATTAATAAATATGCCAAACATCGGTATGTACTACTTGTCCTGTAACTGCGAACAAAACATCTCAGTACATACACATTTCCCTTTCCCTTATTCCCCTCCCCAGCCAGCCCCAACCCCGCGGTCGGAACCAGGCGCGCTCCGGCCGGTCGAGTGGAAATAGCGCCTGTACCATTGCCCCCGGCAAGGATCACCCCACACCCTCCGAAGGGTGACCTCCACGAGACAAACAACCTCAGCTCGTCCACCCCCTGACCCGAATTAGGTATCGCACCTGGATGTTTAACCTTACCTCCGAGAACCAAGTGGGCTGGGACTAGCCCAACCGGGCGACCTCTGCTCAAACCGAAACGCAGCTGCCTCCGGAAAACACCATGAACTCGTTATTTAAGTCTCCCTCAACTTTGCAAACCATTTCGCATAACAATCCCGGCATTAAGGGTCCTAAAATAACTATGAAAACAAACACCACCGACCTCTGCATGCCCTCCGCACGAGAACAGTTACGTGGAGAACGTCTGAATTTCCTGGCCTATTCGTTCAAATATTCAACATACCTGTCAACCAATCACCAACAAACTATTCAGCTATTAACAAAGAAGAAAGAAACGTGGTTCACTCCATTTCAAGACTAGTTAGTCTTCCTTCCATGACCTCCTTTGGCTGGAGTTTCTCTTCGGCCTCTCCGTAGATCTCCCTGCTCGGCTAATCATTGGTGATGGGGTAGTGTCATTAGGTACCTCAGATATGTTACATTGTTGTTTGTCCTTTTTCTTTGCCCTACATGCTCTCTGCCAACCCTCCATCTCCTCATTATGCTCCACAGTCATATGATTCATCTCCCTGTCCATTCTTTCACTTTCTACATCATCTCTCTGCATCACTTGAACCTCTCCATCATTCCTCCTCTCATAGGTTTCCTGCTCATCTTTTTGAGTGTCCTTCTGTCCCTCCGCTATAACATCCACCTCAACTTCCTCATCCTGTCTACCTACAGGTCTGGTACTGTCATCCCTCCCCCTGGTATTCCCCTGGGCACCTTGTTTCATCAGCAGTTGCTGAAGCAGAGCAATCATCTCACCCACCTTTTCTTCCAGTTTTCCTACTTTTTCCCTGAGGTCATCATGCTGCTTGTTAGTGGGAGCCACACTTGGGTGCCGGACAGTTGCAGCATATGACTTCAGGACAGGGGGGTCATGCTCTTTTTCATATTGCCTTCTAGCCTGAGGGTATGAGAGTTCTTGTTCAGTTTTAATCTTACATATCTCCTTTTCTTTTTTCCATATTTCACACTCTCTGGCCATGCATGAGTGTCCTGACTGTTTGCAGTTCACACACCAGCGCTCACATTCCCCTTCATGCTTTCCTTTCCCACAACGAAGGCATAGAGGATCACCAGGGCATCTTGTTTCAGTGTGGCCAAATCTGCCACAACCAAAACATATCAGTGGGTTGGGGATATATTGGTGGACATGGTATGTGATGTAATCTAGCTCCATTTTGGCTGGGCATGAGGACCTGTCAAATGTCAAAAGTATGGTTGGGGTATTTTCCATCTTTCCATCCACCCTCTTGGTGAATCTCCGAGCACCCACTACCCCAAATTCACCCAGCCATCCCACAATCTCAGTCTCGGACAAATCTACAAGGTCATATGCAATGATGGTTCCCCTGGATGTGTTCATTCTTTGTTCCCGAACAACCTCACACTCCTCATTCCCAAACTTTTTGTTTTTCATGAACTTTTCAGTCTGTCCATGATTTTTGGTTTTATCAGAAGGCTGCCTGCAGCCAGAAGATTCGCCTTTTCAACCTTCTCAGAGCCTCCCAGAACTCCTCTCACGCACATCTGGATCCATGGCCAACCTTTGGACTTGAATGATTTCCCTGAGTTGAGTGTTATTTTCAGGTATGAGCCTGAGGATTCCCCCCCTACCTGAGAAAAGAAAAGTTCATCTGTACGCACTCGCTTACCGGGTCGGCTCGGCCCAGTCATCTTCACTTCACTCCATCACCACCAAGAAGAATGAACATTACACTGAGATTCACCCGAAGTCTTGAAACAGGAAGAAATTCAGAAGTAAATTAAATGTGACCCCACAGAACTCGCTTCCACCGTTCGTATGGCCTGTCAAAAATGCTCTACACTTATCCAGACACCAACACGCGCCACCCCAGACGGCCGGAACGTGTTGGCTTCAGCAGTACTCGAACGCGAATGTAAATTGATGCAGGGTGGACAGCAATACTTGAAGGATCGTCATTGATGCGCCATTATCAGCTCTATCTTCACTATTTTGTTGACAAGTTAAAAATATTTGATTAGTAAATCACCTCTATTTTCGAACATATTTTGTAGTCAAATGAGCTAATTTATGCCACCTATTTCTAATTCGAAGTCAAATTCTCTAAATAAAGTTTGTTTATGATAAACCCAACCGGAGAATATATCAATCAGCTCTATTCTCCATTTCCCGGCAACTTCCTTTTCCTGCTTGACGTCGAGGTTACGGGATGGGGAAGGTACTATGCCATGGAAATGTGCATATAATTGTTGCTGCGTTGTTGGCTAGACTCTGCGAGGAACGTGATACTGCGCGGTTCGGGTTTATCTGTGTTTGACTCCTTTGTCCGATCGCAAAACTGACATTGATTGTTAAATCGGGCTTGAGCATATTGTGCATCTGAAGTATCTCGTGGTATTCTCCAGAATTAACTGTTAGCACTTAATGGACAGCACTTTGATACCAGTCTGCTTCCTTCCTGGGTATTCTGTGCCTCAGGAAACTTTGGACATGTTAGTAGCATGCACTGTCCACCGGGGACAAGACATGGCAGTAATGGAACTGCATGTTCACCTGCCTGTGCGGAACCTCTGCTGATTTTTGGATTCATACCTTCAGTAGCTTAGAGGTGTTGCGCTTGTTAGTGGCGTTTGTGTTGTCATAATTATGTCATGTTATAACCAGTCAGATGCTAGACTTGTATCCAGGGAGGACTTTGCACAGCCTAGCTGAGATTTTGCACTGTGATTGTACTAGTGGCAGCAAGCCTTCCATTTGAGGTTGGCTGGGCTGTAAGGTTGTGCATTCAGCTGTTCACTGACATTGACATGCTTTGCATATGATAGCAAAACCAGCTGGTCTGCTGCACTGGCTGTTTCTGTTGAAAATCCTGTTGCTTATATCTGATTAGGGTCTTGAATTTATCACCCCCATTCTGCAGTTCCAGGCACCAGCCAAAGGCCGCCCAGCCAAGGGCAAGGGCAAAAAGAAGGCAGAAACAGTCAAATTCATTGTTGACTGCACACATCCAGTGGAAGATGGACTCATGCAGGCTGCTGATTTTGTAAGCTTGTGTTGTGCTGTGGTGTTTTGGTCTCTTCATGAACTTTTCCCTAAGCTATAAGATAGCATATTGCATAATATATTTTAATAATTTTGTATTCATTGTGTCTGAGCAGTTAATCTTACCATTATTTCATTACAGAGTTCACATATATTGTGGTGTACCCATTGTGGTATTCAGATAGGAGATAACTAATGTATATGTGCTTTCTCTCATGCAGGGAAGGTGATATTCAATCTTAGGGCCACCTTCCCTAAGATTGAGTTTAGGGCTATCTTCCCTAAACTCCAATGCCACTCTTCTCAGGAGAAGTTCCTTCAAGAGCGCATTAAAGTGAATGGCAAGACCAAAAATTTTGGCAGAAACCTTCACATTGAGAGGGCAAAGAGCAAGATCACTGTCAGTGCATCTAATGACATCAAGATGGGCAAGAGGTAAATTTTTGTTAACACATGATGTTAGCCAATACAGATTTGTAACCTATATGGATTACCATTGAATTTGCAAATGTGGGTTAACTGCAAAGGCATACCCCAGTGGCTCAGTTGGTCAACAGTGCCTGTCTCAGAACCCCCTAGTGGTAGGATAGGTGTGTGGAAGCCTTTTCTGTGCTCAACATATGCCTGTGACCAAGATGACTGGTGGTGGCTGTTCAAGCTTAGGTGAGGGCATAGGGTGAGGCAGGCAGTGCTAAACATTGGAGGATGTTAAAGTATTGCTATAGCATGCCATTGAAGTGGAATTCCTGATGTGATGATGGGGTCTGGGGTGAAGTGCTGCTAGTGTAATCAGTAAGTTTGGAAATTGATGCAATCTTAAATTTTGGGCACTGTACTAGAAAGATATCACCACACCACATCTGCATGCTCACTGCTTTGGGGCATGTTGTGTTCTGGTCACTGTGCATTATGGTTTGATATCTCAGCTCTCACTAACATAATGCATTCTGCAGGTACCTGAAATACCTTACAAAGAAGTACCTGAAGAAGAACAGCCTGCGGGACTACCTGCGAGTGGTGGCCAGCTCCAAGGACTCATATGAGCTCAAGTACTTCAGCTTTGATGATGATGATGATGAGGCAGAGGAAAATGAGGATTAAGTTTAATTCCCTGATGCCTGCCCAATAAATCAACCATCAAAAATGTGACGTTTGCAGCGACAGACAGCGACGGAAATGTGCCGTGGACGGCAGGTGGGGAATTCTGTTGATGTAATGTGATGGTCATGGCTCGAGGGAAGACTGTCCATGGAAGCACCGACCAAGGTGGTTGAGGGGGAGTACTGGGCACCGGATCAATGGATGGTTGCCTGGTCCACAGCGGTAGCGCCGCACAATGACGAGACATGTTCGCGCGACTCCGACTGGGGGGGGGGGGGGCTGTCGTGTCCATGCCCCGTAGTAACATGAGGCCCGCGATCGCGAAGGTTCCGCGGGTCCCGTACCATCTCAACAGATAGCGTTCGCTGTCCTCGAAGGTCATGTCGGCATTATGTGTCGAAAGCACATAAGTGATAGGAGTTGTCAGCCTGCCTGTATTGTGATCTGACTGACGCGCGTCATATGCATGCTCAACGGCAACAGCTTGCGCACGGGCCACCGTAACATGTCGCCGACCGCGCCGCGCGTGCAACACCGCGGACTGAGCCACGTACCGGTCCAGACAGTGCGTCCCTGCGCGGCGCCACCACCTATAGCGCGGCGTCCTGTAGAAGAGCGGGAGCTGCGCTGCCACGAAAGGCCCCTCAGATGCATATGACCTCTGACCGCGGGCGGTGACGCTCTTCAAAGCGCTCAGAGTCGACATTCCCCGCCGACACCAAGGTCACACCAGCACGGCGATCCCATACGCTCGAGCAGGCGCGGCATCCACGGCGACGGCGTGCGCACGCACACCCCCGCAGTCACGAGCGCCGCGTGAGAACAACAAAACTGGACTATCACCGCCACAGCGTGTTCCTGCAAAAAGGCTCGCAGGCCGCGACAGCGCACTGACGCAGTGCATGACGCGCGCGCCGTCGGCGCCCCGGCACGGCGGCTGGAGCGGCGCGTCACTGGAGCCGGTCGCGCGGCCCGGCCGGCCCGCCGCCGGCGCCCATCAGCGAGGGCATCATGCCTGGCATGGGCCGCTGCTGCTGGTACTGGCGCTGCTGCATCAGCATCGGGCCGCCGGCCGGTACGCCGTCGCCGCCCATGGGCTGCGCCACGGCCACCGGCTGCTCCGACGGCAGCGTGAAATTGTGCACGACGTCGCGCACGGCGCGGAAGATGGAGCAGTCGCCCGACTGTGCAGCCAGCTCGCTGCTGTGCCGCATCAGCTGGTTCACGTGCGTCGTCACCTGGCGGATGGCGGGCGGTCACACGGGCTGAAGCGGGCACGGGGCTCATACGGCCTGAAGTAGGCGGGGTGGTCACACGGACTGAAACGGGCGGGATGGTCGCGCGGGCTGACGCAGGTGCGGAGGGCCGACAGCACGCGGCCGGCTGGACAGACATGGACTGGGTGGATGACGGATGCGACATATCCAAAACCTTCGCGCGAAACCAGTCAATTGCCATTTGACAGGTCGGCGGCCGTGAAGGTGTCGCCATCAATTTCACCTCACCACCAGCGGAGGTGCACGTATTGAAGGATAAGCGATGCCGCCATCAGGACAATCGCACTAAGCTTCATGTCCTCTGGACACATATGGCGACCACGCATGACGTGTCATGTCCGGCGGTGCATTGCCAGCCCTCGTCCGCAGACACCGGAACGCTCGTGCAGTCTACAGCCCTCAGACACGGGCTCCTCCGCGCCCGGCGCGCACCGCCCGAGCGGTCTCAGGGTCGCACGCGTCCGAGCGCGACCTGACCTGGTTGGGCTGGTAGTCCTTCTTGTCGGCACACTGCGTCAGGTTGTCGGCCATGTGGTAGACGATGGGCAGCACGAGCCTGGCGGGCTCGACGCCGGGCGGCGGCGGCCCGGGCAGCCGGCGTGTCAGCTGCAGGAAGAACAGCAGCTTGGTGCCGGCGTTGATGAGCGAGACGACGCCGTTGGGAATGAGCGGTGGCGTGGCGGCCGGGTGCGACATGGTGCACCACTCCACCTGCCAGTTCATCGACGCAGCCTGCCGGGAGACGCCGGCCGACGGTCAGTGCCGCCCAATCGACGCTCGGAGCGCAGGGCCGGTCCGATCGGATGAAGCGCAGCGTACATCGCCCGATCAGATGGAGCTACGGGTCGGCCACCGCCGCCAGGTCAGATGTCACGCGGGGTGTGATGAAGCGCAGCGTACATCGCCCGATCAGATGGAGCTACGGGTCGGCCACCGCCGCCAGGTCAGATGTCACGCGGGGTGTGATGAAGCGCAGCGTACATCGCCCGATCAGATGGAGCTACGGGTCGGCCGCCGCCGCCAGGTCAGATGTCACGCGGGGTGTGATGAAGCGCAGCGTACACTGCCCGATCAGATGGAGCTACGGGTCGGCCGCCGCCGCCAGGTCAGATGTCACGCGGGGTGTGATGAAGCGCAGCGTACACTGCCCGATCAGATGGAGCTACGGGTCGGCCACCGCCGCCAGGTCAGATGTCACGCGGGGTGTGAAGCGCAGCGTACATCGCCCGATCAGATGGAGCTACGGGTCGGCCACCGCCGCCAGGTCAGATGTCACGCGGGTGTGATGAAGCGCAGCGTACATCGCCCGATCAGAGGAGTACGGGTCGGCCACCGCGCCAGTCAGATGTCACGCGGGGTTGGTGATGAAGCGGGCACCGCCGCCAGGTCAGATGTCACGCGGGGTGTCATGCATCCTCGAGGTCAGCAGGGGTCACGAGATCAGCCAATACTCGTATTCAAATGTCACAGGTCATGGCATGTATATGGGATATGGTGATGCGCCGGGTACATCGTCGGCGGTGCCAGTCCGCCCGCTCGCTGCGGCCTGGCGGGGGCTCGTACACGGGACCGGGCGCGGTCCCGCTCAGCCGCGCGCCCACCCAGCCGACAAAGGCACGCCTCGGGTTAGACACGGACATGGGTCTGCGATGCGACGCACCGTGGTCGTCGGGCGGCTGACTGCCGCTGCGCAGATACAGTGGGCTCAGTTGCGTTGGAAGCATCACCTGGGGGCTGTTGGGATCGGAGGTGACCTCCTCAAGCTGCATGATCCGGATAAAGTCTCTCAGGACGTTTGACGGCATGTTCAGGATCCGCACGAACGTCTTGAGAGTATTCTGCCGGTATGGCGGCACCGCCACCTTGGTGTCGAAGAACCGCTCCAGCACCTGGAAACATCGGCGAAACAGAAATGCGTTAACCATGCTGAGCACGCGGCCTGCGCAGCGGTCTCCCCTGCACAACAGCGTCGCACTCCTCCATCGCTTGCGTTGGCATGGTCAATACGCCGCTGAAATCGTGAACAAATCTAAAGATAACGATGCAAAGGTCATGCGTAACAAAAAAGGTACGATGACTGTTCCCATGATAAACACAAGACGCGACATCCGCTCGTCAGTATCCCGACGTTGCAAGCTCTGAAGTTTGACAACCAACAACCGTGCATCCAAAGGGAGCTGAACCCCCCAGCGCCAGTCTCTTAATCTGACCAGTGCGCCGCACGAGGACGAGGCTCTGCGGGACGCCACAGGCCGTCAGTTCCGGCGTCTGCCCGCCGGCGCTCCGCACCTGCGTCTCCTCCGGCTGCCACTGTTCCAGCGAGTCGGGGCTGGACTGCACGCTCAGGTGCAGCGTCTGCACGAACTCGGGCTCCAGCCGCACGCGGCACTGCACACAGGCCGTCTTGAACAGCGTCACGCCCTGCTCGGTGCACGGCAACCGGACGATGTTGGAGGCGGCCTCCTCCTCCAGCGTCTGGCGGCGGTGCAGGGCAGCTTGGAAACCGCGCTTATCGTCGACAGGGACAGGTCAGCTGGACAGTATTCCGGCTGATCGACTAAGACTCGGAAACATTTACACACAGTAATGCTCTCGCACTGTAGAGCAATCGTGACACAAAATTCACTAACTTTTCAAACAGCGACGAAGCGCATATATGATTATCATACAATTCGCAGAGCTCCTGCGACATAAACTTAGCATGCTACTTCAAATGGTCAGGAAGGCCAGAACCAATTGATCATACTATCTATGCGACTCGGACGCCGCAGGACATCTCGATCATTCATTGCTCATCATCTTCGCTTATCCCAGCCCAAACCACAGACGCCATCGACCACCGCATCAGCATGTCCCCACACCAGGACATTACGAACCGAAAATCCTCTCGTCCCACTAGCCGCGACGCCTCACCTTGCGCAGGTGCGTGCGCAGGTACACGCAGCCGAGGTAGCGCTCCAGCGGCGACACCTGCATCACCTCGGGCGGCGCGCGCAGCGTGCTGGCCGGCACGGGCGCGCGCGTGCACAGCGCGTCGAACGACTCGTGCGTGAGCATGACGGGCGCGGCTGCCGGCCGGAGCCGCGCCGGCGCCGCCTTGGTCACGGCCGGCGAGCCGGCCAGCGCCGGCGACATGAGCGGCTGTGCGGCGAACGGGCTCATGGCGCCGGCCGCCGCCGGGCTGTGGCCCACGTGGCTGGGGCTCGGCGCCGGCAGGAAGCCGGGCGAGGGCGCGTGCAGCGGCGCGCCCGGCGAGTTCGAAACGAGCTGTTGCGCCGGCGGCGGCGGCGCCGGTGACGGCTGCAGCGGGCTGGCTGGCGTGTGCGGGTTGGAGAGCGAACCGGGCGTCATGGGGTGCGCGAAGCGCGCCTCGCGGCCGGCCGCCGGCGAGCCGGCCTTGAGCGCGCCGGCCGGCGGCGGCAGCGCGGCCGGCTCCAGGTCGAGACTGGTCGGCGACGGCGGCGTGTCCTCCTCGCCGCCGCCGCCGGCGAAGGCCGGGTCGGCCGCGTACTTGACGAGGAATGCAGCCAGGTTCTGCAGGGGGTGCAGCTCATCCAGCGGCCGGCCGCGGTCCAGCACGCAGAATGCGCCGTCACGCACCGACACCAGACCATCGCTGTGCAGCTGCACCGACAGGCAGTACGTCTTGCGGTAGACGAGCCGCACGTGCCAGGCCGACTGCGGCAGCAGGATGAAGTTGATGATTGGGTCGAGTGGCCGGTCACCACGCACGCCCAGCCTCGGGGTGGCCGACAGCTTGTCGAGCGACACCAGCGGCGAGTACGTCTCGTCCAGCGCCACCATCAGCTGCGCCAGCGACCGCTCCGCGTTCAGCAGGTCCTCCAGCTGGCCGCGCAGCACCGCGTGCGGGTTGGTGGCGCTGCTTGACCTGGGGAGAAGGAGCGCGTTGATCCATGGGAACTCAGTTACGGTTCTGATGTAGAACTGGCAGCCTATGATTTGGACTGATAAGCCACATCTGTGGCTTTCAGCAAGCCTTTTGATAAAAATTCAACACACAACATTTAAAGCTGTGACCACAGAACGACTAAAACTGAACCGCATATTCCGGAGATACCCGACAGGTATCGATCCCCGTGAACCACCACCCTCAATACTAGGAGCCAACGAAAAGCGTCATACCAAGGGCATGGAAAAATATTGCACACGTGGGTAGCATTCAAAACACTTGTTTCTCGGAATACGTAGTACCCGCTAGCGACTCGATACGATGTCCGCTTCCCCGACTGTCTTCATCTGGCGCCCCACCAGCCGGTGTCACGCACCTGGCATTGATGCCGAAGCTGAGCTTGAACCGCTTCTCATCGCTGCTGTGCTCCACGCGCACGGTGGCGCCCTTGTTCGGGCCGTAGGCGAGCGTGAGCGCGCGGTACGTGAACGACGAAACCTCTGTCAGATGAGTGAGGCCGCGCTGCCGGTCTTCGGCCACGAAATGCTGGAAGGCCAGCAGCAGCGCGTACAGCTCGGCCATCTGGCGCCAGTCGGCCAGCAGCCGGTCCACCACGTCCGACACGGCCTCTGTCGACGGCTGCCGGTACCAGAAGTAGACGGGCCGCCGGCTGGCCTGCTCGCGCGGCTGCTGCGAGCGTGCCGGCGCGCCATGGAACACGTACTCCACGGCCCAGCGGCTGCCCAGCTTGTCCTCCTGTTGTGTAATGGTGGCCGAGAGCAGCGCCGCCTGGAGGCGCTCCATGGCCGCCGCGTCCACGCCCGCCACTGCCGGCAGCTCCATCAGGCGAATGTACCGCGACTGGCCGCTGTGGGAGGGAGGCGAGGTCAGCTGACGATAGCGCCGACACGCCCGCTCCCCAGGCGGCGGACGCAGCAGCGGTGGGACGGAGCCGCTGATGTACACAAGCGTAGGACATGTGATGGACACATAGGACGGTGATGTACACAATCACAGAAGGAAGTTATTAAAATGATTTGGGGGCATGAGGGGAAGGGAATGGAAGTGCAACGAGATCGAAAAGCAAGTGCGATAAATACGAACGCGAAATGCAGGAGCGCATGATCGGGGACAGATAGTCTTGAGAAGCACAGAAGTCCACGTACAGCAGCCCTGACAACGACCGGAGCAAAGCTGACCAGACCAGACCAATCGCATGCCGCATTTGATAATGCGCGCAACGCACGCTTAACAGACGGCGGCACCGCTGTTGCCGAACATCACACTTCAGTGCACATCGCGTCTCCGTCCCGGCCACCTCGCCGGCCTCCTGCCCACGTCGGAGACGCCCGCCCTCCGGCGGCACGCACCTGGGGTCGACCGCAGCGCCACCGTGCGGCACGTGCTGTCGGCTGAGCTCGCGGCACAGGGCCGCGCACGGGATCTGCTCGTCGCAGAGCGCCACCACCTGCGCCAGCTCGCTGATGAAGTAGGCGGGTGAGGCGCGCGGCCGCGGCCCGGCCATGCGCGAAGGCGAGCCGGGTGCCGAGGGAGCGCGCGCGCGCCGCGGCCCCTCGGCCGCCTCCAGCGCCGTGCCCGGCCCGTGCAGGCAGAGGAACGTGTCCAGCTCGACGAACGTCAGCACCTGGCAGGGGGTGGAGGCGAGCGTCGAACCGCGTTACGCACAGGCGAGGGGGTGGGGTGCAGTCAAAAGCCTCGCCGCAAACGTGGAGAGCGGTTTAAATATCTGCTCACGGACACAGTTGGCCGGTATCCCAACTGAACTCTACAGCAACACGCTGCCCATGGCGAAGCAACGCCCTGCTCCTGACAACGATAGGCCTCGCTCCAAAGTACGTCCCGCGCACAGCGTAGACACGATAACTCATTTTACAGCTGCATGACGCATGCCAAGATAGTTGTTCATTGTCTTTGCACATACACTTTGTACTTGCTGAGATACCAAGGGTTTCAGTCATGCGGCTGTACTTCTGCTGAGCTGGAATAGTCTGAAATCAACTTCACTGGTACAATGCTTAGTCCCTCCCCTTCCATCCCACTTAGCCAGCGCAAGCGTCTATAATCTCAAGCCCCCCCCCCCCCCCCATTCACCTTGAGATACTTCTTCGGCAGGTGGCGTTCGTTGGCGTCGTCCGAGCCATCCTCGATGCTGGACGGCTTAACGGTGACCATGTAGAAGCTGTACTCCATCTGGTTGGGACATGCGGCCCGCTCCTGGCACACCACCACCAGCACGCGGCTGGGGAAGCGGTGCAGACGTACGTACAGCTGCTGCGCCGGCAACCGGCCCAGTGCGTGGCCCTCGCGGTAGGAGAGCGGCAGCGACTCATGCGCCGAGGCCGGCAGGTGCTGCAGCGTCTTCTCTGCTCGGCGCAGCGTCACCCAGAATCTGGCGGCGGTGGTGCGGCGTTACAGCCAACATCGGGCGGCGACGAGCGGCGCCACAAGCACGAGCCAGACGCGGACCCGAGGCGCCAGCACAGAGGCTATAGACCGCAGCCGCCGAGTAACGCGACAGCTCTTAACATTCACCGTCAATAATTCTGTCGAAGTTAGCAAGTCCTTTACCCACATTGCAAAATCCCTAACCGTCGTCAGGCATTCCCCCAGAGCCACCGACACCGGAGTGGGCCCGACTTGAGCAGCTCCGCTCGCCTCCCAACCAGTCAGCGAGCGCCCGCGGCGCCCTACCTGAGCCTGGTGAGCAGCTGCCTCAGCGTGGAGCGGTCACCGTTGAGCGCGGCCGTCACCTCCTCGCAGACGGGCGTCTCGTAGAGCGGCACGTGCGCCGTCAGCGTGCCGCGGTGCACGTCCACGGCCACCAGCAGCTGCTCGCCCTTGAGGCACGGCTGCAGCAGCGGTACGCTGAGCACGGCCGGCGAGCCGGCCAGCGCCAGCTGCTCGGGCTCCAGCTGCACCAGGCGCGCCAGCTCGCCGCGCGTCTCGGCCAGCACGGCGCGGCTGCGCAGGTGGATGGTGTGCACGAGCAGACGCTCGATCGAGAGCCGATCGGAGCGGACGGCGCGCTCGGCCTGCTCGGCCGTGCGGCTGTCGGGCAGCGGCGGCGAGTGGGTGACGAGCAGCGGCCGGCCGGCGTCGGCCGGGTCCGTCTGCAGCGTCACGCGGTAGCCCGGCTCCGAGCGCGCCTCTCGGCCCGTCACCTGTCGCCCGGCAGGAGCCGTCACACATACACACCGGGCAGCGCGGCACGCAGGACACGTGACGCAGACGGCACGTATCGGCTGATGTTGGCGGTGGCCGTTTGATCGTCGCTCACTCGTGACGTTTGCTTCGGAGGACGAGTACACGAGATCCGTGAGAAAGATTGCGTTTGGGGCTTGTCACTCAATTCCACCTCAGAAAAGTATCCACCGTCCACACATCGCACGTCCCTGACAGCAGCCCGTCCCCTGGTGCGGTGAGGTGTGGCTTGAACTTCCGAGATCTGACTCGCCGCAGCCGCTGTGCCCTGAGCTCACCTCCCGCCAGTATGAGACGGCCAGCAGCCGGCCGGGCTGGTACTCGTGCACGCGCACGTTGTCACCTAGCCGATCTCTGCAGAGCTGTACCACCTGCGAGTGCAGCACCTCCAGCTGCAGACTCTGACTGAACGAGTGCAGGATGGTGTAGATGTCGTACAGAGGTCGCGCCGAGTCGGCCAGGTACGAGCTCACCAGCTGGTGCAGGTAGTGCACCTGCAACACCGGCCACCGGAGCAGTCAAACGGACACCAAGACATCGACACCAGCTGGTCCACATAGTGTACCTGCGACAGGGAACATGGCGGCAGTCAGACGGATATCAAGACATCAACACCAGCTGGTGCAGGTAGTGTACCTGCAACATGGGACAGTGGGGCAGTCAGACTGACACCAAGATATCGACACCTGACACCGTCAGACCAGCTTCGGATGGAACCTGTATGCAGGTATCGACCCAGCCAGCAAGCTAAGTACTACAAGAAGTACTCGTTATCCTCACGTTATACAAAACAGACCGCGCGGTCCACTTCGCAAAAGGCGGAGTCCACTCCACGGAACACAACACATCAGACATGAATGGTGTGAGTTACAGACAGACGCCAGAGTGCCGTACCTGCAGCGGATGCACCAGACTCTTGCCCTCGCCGGTCTCCTTGTCCTCCACCAGGATCTCGATCTCCAGCAGGGTCCAGGGCACGGTGGGACCGTCACCCATCAGGGGTCAGCGACACCTGGTGGCCGTCAGGGGCAGCTGACAGCGCGGCCGAATGACGGCCGGGGGGGCGGGGCCCGGGGGGACCGCCGGGGGGCGGCCGGGGGACAGCCGGGGACAGCTGGGGGACGGCCGGGGGACGGCTGGGGGACGGCCGGGGGCGCCGGGGGCGGCCGGGGGGCGGGCCGGGGGGCGGCCGGGGGGCGGCCGGGGGGCGGCCGGGGCGGCCGGGGGCGGGGCTGGGGGCGGCCGGGGCGGCCGGGGGCCGGCCTGGACGGCCGGGGCGGCCGGGGGACGCCGTGGACGGCCGGGGGGCGGCCGGGGGACAGCCGGGGGCGCCGGGGACGGCCGGGGGACGGCTGGGGACGGCCGGGGACGGCCGGGGGACGGCCGGGGGACGGCCGGGGGACAGCCGGGGGACAGCCGGGGGACGGCCGGGGGACAGCCGGGGGCACCGGGGGACGCCGGGGGCGGCCGGGGGACAGCCGGGGGACAGCCGGGGGACAGCCGGGGCAGCCGGGGGCGCCGGGGACGGCCGGGGGACGGCCGGGGGACAGCCGGGGGACAGCCGGGACAGCGGGGGCGGCCGGGGGCGGCCGGGGGACGACCGGGGACGGCCGGGGGACGGCTGGGGGACGGCCGGGGGCGGCCGAGGGGCGGCCGGGGGACGGCCGGGGGACGGCGAGGTGCCGGACAGAGCGCCGGCCGGGCGAGACCGGCTCGCGGTACTCGGCACCGCTGGGCATGCGCGCGCACCTGGACCGAGCCCGTACGAGCCGCAGCCGGTATGGAGACAGCTCCCACCGCGACACAGAGCGGTCCGGGTAGGTCGACGCCGGCGTGGCTACCACGCCGCTTCACTTACAGCTGGGACACAGTGCGTGCGTTCCACCTGTGCCGCTGGTGCACTTAAGACGCGACTCCGCACGATACGACGCGTGACTCTCATGCCCGCCAGCAATGGCGTCAGCAGAGCCGGGCCGCGTTCTCGGTGCGGCGGCGGCGGCGGCGGCGGCGGCGGGCATCGCTCTCACCTGGAACTCGTGCTCGACGGTGATGCGCACGCGGCCGGCGCCGATCTTCAGCTGCAGCATCTGCGGCGGCAGCTCTGACGTCACCAGCCGGTGCTCGATGATCTGGTTCAGCCGCTGCAAGCACGCCATGCCCGCGGCGGTGACAGGGGACGCGCGCGGAGTCGCACGGCGACACAATGGAGGCGGTGAAGACGTCAACAACCAACACAGATCGTAGAAACGATAAGGGGAGAGGTCGAAGTGACCTTAACACATACTGTTGCAAGTGCTTTGCGCTATCAATCAGCTTTGGTTGCAATCTTCTCCACCCACTGTCGGAGGTTGGAAAGCAGCCAAAGCTGGGCGTGTGCACGACTGCGCGGCATCAGGATTCAAGAGGACGACTAATTAGCACACCTGTCATTTCGCACGCACGCACGCACGCACGCACGTACGCACCCACCCACGCACGCACGCACGCACGCACACACGCACGCACGCACGCACCCACCCACACCCACACACACGGCCAACTCGACAACAATCCTGTTATCAGCGCCAGCAGCCGCCCACCGGCATCTGGGCTCACTGGCCGGCGGAACGCGAAGCGCGGCACTCGCACCTGCAGCGTGGTGGCCTTCTCGGCGGGCGTGATGGCCTTGGCCGGCACGATCCGCTCTCGGATGCAGAGCGGCAGCCGACTGTAGGAGCCCGTGGTGAGCACCTCCACTGCCGCCGGGATGTGGAACGTGGGCAGACGCGCCGCCACCTGGCGGCCGCAACACCGGCTCAGACGGCACGCAGGCGGCCAGCACCCCAGCACATCACAAGGCTACGTGGAAGAGCTACGTGGTGAGCTACCATCGGCTACCTGCCGATGGGCAGGCCGCACAGAACAATAACACACCGCCTTCCACTGCATACAGGAACAAGCCTTCCGCGTTTCGGATGCGGAGCACGCGCACAAACGGACGGTCTACTGCCCCGCTCCTGGCTGCATCCCGTTGGCCGCCAGCACCCGCCAGCTAGTAGTCGGGCGCCTGCCGGTCTTAACGTGGCTAGCCGCATCCCCCGGCGAAGGTGCCGCACTCGGCGCTCTCACCAGCTCCTGGCGCGCCATCTGCGACAGCTTGTCGGCCGTGTTCACGAACAGCATGCTCTGCTTGTCGAGGAAGGCCATGATGCCGGCGCTCTTGTCCACCTTGGAGACGCTGCCGGCCCACTTCACCAGCGCCAGCAACCGGATGCAAAGCTGGCGCGTACGGGACGCAAACTGCCGACGATAGCAATGACGTTCGAGGGGCAGTTTTGGCGAAGACCCGTGTCGACAGTGTGGTGAGAGGCGTTGTGAGCAATAATATGTGGGTGTGCACCGACATAACCAGGAGCCAAACACGTCGGACAAAAATGATCTATGAACACGGCCATTTTGTATTTTCTGGCGAGGGCGATAGGATGACTATCACCACCGCAGCTCTGATGACGATGACGCCACACACGCACAAGCCAAGAACATCTCCAACAACGCCACCAAAGAGGCACCTCGCCGACGTACCTGAACAATTTCGATCTTTCGCTCCATGTCGTTTTTGCGAGGCAGCAGCTCGGACAGCACGGACAGCTCGTGATAGGTACGCTGCACGATGAAGTCGATGAGCAGGCCGAGCGAGATGGAGCCGCCGGTGGGGCCGTGCGGCCCGTCGCCGCCGCCCTCCATCGGGGTGCGCACCACCGGCATCATGGCGCTTGGTCACGCCCCCTGCCGCCGGCCAGACAGAGAGCATCACAGGTGTAGCCCAGATCAGTTCAGGTCAGTTTGTTGAGGTGACTTCCTCTTCTACTTCCAGGCTTTTCATAAACACAAGTCAAGTTCAATGCAAATTAAAACTAACAGAGTCACTGGCTGAAGAGATGGTAGGCATAAGGCATCCAGCATTATGTGCTCTCTTGGCTTGACAAGGATTAGCCATGGTAACCACAGTACTTACACATATGTGTAGCTCAAGAGCCATGAGAGAAAACATCTACTTAAAATACAATTATCCTACAAAAACTTTGCAACACCTGGAGGCCATAGCTTTGGGAACTTTCCACAGTTATGACATATTACAAAGTCTGTTCTAAAAATTAGTCATATTTATGTTTATATGCATTTAGAGATGCAAACATTTCTTTTCATCTATTTGTGTCTTCAACTTCATGCCTTGGTCTGATCAGCCTCCATCCTAATATTCAGATTTTTGTTTTGCCTTTCTTGAACATGAGGAACATGATATTACAAATCAATTCAGTGTCATATCACTGAATGCATGACAAAAATGCATCATACCAATATCTGCAATGTTCTAGTTGCAGTACATATTCTCCTCAGCTTGGCACCAATACCACAAAAACAGCCAAATCAAAACCATGCCACCATATAACACTACTTCTGTTCTTTTTCACCAAACCTTATAATAGCATTTTCCCAATTCAGTCATGTTTGGAACTCAGTATAATACCAGGCCACATAAGCAGCTTAAGCCATGGGTAAAAGAACATCTATCATGTGGTCTTGAATAAATCATGACATCTGAATTTATGCATGCACTGTGGGTTCTCCATTACATGGCAGTCTGAATTGCCCTTCAGAGGCAAGGGCTGCCCTTGCATGGCTGTTTTTGTTGACTGAAAGCATATAGCAACCTACTTTTTAAGTTATTTATCAGAAAGAAAGCAATGTTTGTTACTGAGGTGTATGAATTTAGATAAAGAGCCCATCTGCATAAAACCATGTAGGGGAATGGGCTGTTGTTAGTGCAAATTCAAAACAGGGCACATCTTCTAATATATTGTGTAGAACAAGTGAAGGGATAATCACTAGGACATAGTCCAAACAATGGAGTTAAGTTATGTGTGCATATTGATGATGTGATTTGTGACTACAATGGGTTATTATGAGATCATATAAAAAATTGCATCCCACTTGATAAAAATGACAAGGAAGCAATGCATGCATGCAAAGGCATTCTATGAATTCTGGCACAAGGCACACTTTCCAAAGTGATATCAAGATGCTCATTATGTCAAACAAGCAGTATAGAATACCTGTGATGCAAACATGAACTTTTCTGTGACAAAATTTGTGTATTGAATGGTGTTTCACAATTGCAAAATCCTGCACAAGGCCCTGCCTGACAGGAGCTGGTGTGCACTTTGAATAGCCACTTCATATGCACCAATGCAGATCTAATGACGATTTTCCCAATTTTTTCACGAGGCCCAACACGAAGCCATCCTAGTTCTCCAACCCATTGATACAATTACCATCCAGCACCCACTCCATAGCAGACACAATGATGTTACGATCGCGTTCACAGACATTTAAATGAAAGCTCACGAGTAACTGATAATCACCTTCTGAAAAACTTCTGCAAATACGGGCTCAGCAGTACACCTACTTTTTTAGATCATTAATCAAATAAAACAGCCGCATCACTGACACGCCGACACTCCGCCGTATACCTGCACCCACCCCCGCTTTTCTGTTGTCACACCATTTTAGACGAGCTATGCGCGTTTACATGGTATTTTGCCGCAGAATGTTACCATATCGTTCCTTCGTGATGGCAAGCAAAACCATTCATCAAAGTGGAAATCACAGCATGGACCAGGGCAGTGGAACACTAGCATGGGGCTTCGTGTAGACTCAGCAGCGTAGCCAAGGGAGAGTTGTTGGGGCGTGACCCGTCCCCTGCCCCATCCCCGGGGTGGCGATCCCTGAGATGCTTTCTACCGATCATGACCGGTGAGGGTTTTATCGGCCCATGACCGCAGGTGAATATTGCCTGCTCAAGGCCTCATTTCTTTTTGGCAGAAAGATGCCCACGGGGCGCCTAAAACTTCGAAAAAAGGCTCAATGAATGAAAGCAGCAAACCAAGCCCGAGAAGTCACCCAGTGTATAAACTGGACCCCGAGCGACGGGGAATTTCGACGGACGAAGGGAGGGAAGTGACACAATTTCACCCCAGAACCTATTTGGCCCCCTCTGCACGAAATCCTGGCCACGCCTATGTAAAGACAGGGTCGCAGTCGCCACAGCAGACGGTTTGAGCCCAAAGCACTTCGCCGGCGCCAGGCGTGGCGCAGGATTGCCAAGAGCTGACGGTCCTGATGAACCCCAAGGCTGGCGGTTGAGGTACCGCACCAGGGAGGCCTGAGGGGCGAGGGGCTCCAGCGTGCTGCGATCGTACACACCGCTGGTAAATGAAGAATGGGACCGACTAGCAGACCTCGCCAGCCTCCTCGTGCAAGGCGGAAAATCCGTCCACTTGCCCCCTGTCATGCCGAGAGTGCCCACCGGAGCCGAACGGCATGTGCGAGTCACGCGGTGGCACCCCATCCCCAGCAGCAGACGGTCACGACAACGGAGAGCGGCGGCCACGCGTGGCGGTGCCCTGCTGAAGACGGCCTGCTAGTGGGCCATCCGACTGACGAACGCGTCCTCTGCTCGGACTGGTGGACGGCGACGACCGCCCGGATCATCGCGCGGGTCTGACTCGGTGGCGCATTTCCTCCCGCGCTGCCCTATCCACCAGGTGTTCAGATAGCGGCGGAGGCCTCTGCCGACCCCGGACGGGACAGCCTCAAGATCAGACGTGGACCAGATCTGGTCGTGTATGCGGCAGCTGGGCCAGGCGCTTCGGAACGCAGCCTGAGTTGTAAGAAAGCACAATCGCTGGTGTAAGTTCACTAAATATGAGGAACCTGGATAACGCCACTTGATCACACATGTCGCCAGAACCAGATCGGTAACTAAACTCTTCAGTTTTTAACCGTTCCGCATTCAAAGATGAGGTCGCTGGTTTTAAGTTTTGCACAGCTGGCGGTTCTCACTATGGGGTTGCTTCATTCACTAGTGCAGATACCCCCACTGCAAACAGTAGGCAACGGTACCACTCTGAACCCAATGTACACGGACAATGTGCATGAGCACCCTTGCTGATACGTTCAGGAATGATATCGCACGGCACCACAAGCCCTGCCTTTGAACACGCATGCAGTTCTCTGCTGGACTAAGCCAACCTCGATATTCTTGTTCGTGTTTGCCGTTTGACCGTTTCCTCTAAAGTACATTTCCTGGCAACCGGGCGATGCACATAAAGCCATGTGCTCTGGTCGCTGCAGCGGCCTACACCTGACGGACGGATCAGGGGCTTAAACCTATTACTGCGCTTAGCAATACATCGAAAACATCAAGACGATAATACCGCCCTCAGAACAGCACGGCGCATGAATCGCAGTCAAACCAAGCCATCCAATGTATTATTTATTAACATTTCTAAGCGTACAATGAATCGATCCAACATTCAAACGGCCTGACCGACTTCCGGACTCGGCCTGATGATCGTTACAAAACGGCAAGGTGGCGCCGCGGCGCCGGCGCACCTGGAGCCGGCGCGGCTCCGATCGGACACAACGGCGCTGGCCGGCGCCTCAACTCAGGTCCATCATGGCGGCGGCGTCCGGCGGCGAGTCGTGCTGGATCGAGTCGAACAGCGCCTGCAGGTCCGGGCTGGACTTGATGTGCGACAGGAATTCGGACAGCTGTAGGTTCTTGTCTGCAACGGCCGGCGCGGGGTCAGGCGAGTGGGGCCGCGACGACACATCGCTGGCAGATCAGACGCCGACGCCAGAGACACCACGTGAAAGCGGTGTTTGTGGACCGCCGACGCACTTGTCACGAAATAAACCAGCTTTAGTCCCCGCCACCAAACAGACTAGCTGTCAGGCAACTTCATCAGGGTCGGAAAGACATCAGTCGTGCCGAGAGCAGCGCCTGTCAACCCGTTCCCTTTAGCGGGGTCAGACCACACTCACCGGCGTCCGGGATGGCCAGCAGCGCCACCACCACGCGCAGCGCCGACCGCTTCAGCTCGTCCTGCTTCTCAAACTCCTGCTTCACGGAATTTTGCTTGACCTTAGCCGAGCAGGTGGTACGGAGCGGATCCACCAGGCGGTCCAGGCCTGCGCGAGAGAGCAAGCCGCGTGGGATGGCACGGCCAGACCGGGACGCGTCAGACCCGCGACGAGCGGGCGCCGTGCGGAACACACTGGCCGGAAGTCCTGTGCATTCCTGCCAACATACTTGCAGACATTTGCTGGGAGGGAGCCTTTCGGCCATTCCAATACGCGCGCAGCGATAACACTCTGCGGTTCACTACAACCCGACCCCCCTAAACCCGTGCCAGAGCTCTCCGCGTCCGAGACTCACGCTGGAGGACGGCGTTGGGGACGAGCGTGGCCAGCCGGACCAGCATCAGGTAGGTGAGCATCTTGATGTCGTAGTCGTCCTTGAGGCCGTCCTCCACGTGGTTGAGGAAGGTGTAGATGTCGAGCCGGTCCAGGCATGAGTCGAGCAGCGTGTACATACACTCGTAGCCGGCCTTGCGCAGGTCCAGGCCGTCGTCCACCGTGTGCTTGAATGGACCCATCTCCACCTCGCGAATGAGCTCTTTCTGCGGATCGGGTGTCACACAGTGAGAGGCGCAGCGGCCCTCCTGGTGCCACTCGCAGGAGTCTGGGTCCCGGCTCTGCCCAGCGCAGAGTAATACGGTTCAGCATCGTATAGGTGTCATAATGAGACGACGTATTAACTCGTCATACTCCGGTTCCCTTTCACCACACCATGAGAAGCTTTGTGCAACAGCCGAATGTATTGCCCTGCTAACCCAACTGATGCCCATTATAATTATGCCAATACATATCCGTGCAACTAACTCGAGCTAGAGGTACCAGGCCCACGGCCACGTCCAACCCATAAATACTTCAGCTCCAGCTCCCAGCCACATCCCACTCCCCCACTTCAGCCTCCTCCGTCAGCCACGTCCCCACTCTCCCACTTCAGCCTCCCGCCCCAGCTACACCCCGCGGTCCCGCCTATGCCTCCTCCCCTAGCAACACCCCCACTCCTCCGCTTCAGCCTCCTCCCCCAGCAACACCCCCACTCCTCCGCTTCAGCCTCCTCCCCCAGCAACACCCCCACTCCTCCGCTTCAGCCTTCTCCCCCAGCTACACTCCGCAGTCCCGCTGCAGCTTCCTGCCCCAGCCACCCATTCCCCTCCCGCTTCAGCCTCCTCCCCCAGCCACACCCGTCCCCCCCCCCCCGCTTCAGCCTCATGCCGCAGCCGCATCCGCCCGCCCCCTTGCTTCAGCCCGCTCCCCCAGCCACGCCAGCCCCCCCCCCCCTACCCTCCCCCGCTTCAGCCTCCTTCTCCAGCCACACCCCGCTGCCCCATCTCAGCCCAGGGCCTGCGCCCGCGCCCCACTCACCCGGACTTTGGTCTCGGCGTATAGCTTGGGCAACAGGGTGTCGAGCAGGTCGCGCACCAGCGACGGCTTGTTGTGCGCGGCCGAGTTGAGCGCCACCAGCGCCACGCGCCGCACCTCCAGCTGCGGGTCGGCGATCTTCTGCAGGAAGTCGCCGATGCACTGGCGCAGCAGCGGGTCGATGGGCTGCGGCTGGTCGGTGATGGTGAACTTGATGGCCGTGACGATGGTGGTGCGCATCAGCGGGCTGGAGACGGCCGCGTGCAGCGCCTGCTGCAGCCGCGGCAGCAGCGACTCCGGCTGGATCAGAGTCAGCTTGCCCAGGCACTCGGCCACCACGTTGCGCGTGCCCTCTTCGGGAGACTCGCAGTGGCGGAACAGGTTGTTCCAGATGCCCTCCTCGTAGCGGTGCAGCGACTCGCGTGACGTCGTGCAACTGATTATCTGCGGCACGGACGGGCGAGCCATCAGGCGACCGAGTGTGCCAGCACTTGTAACTGCCTGCGGCGATGTTGCAACGTTGCAAGGCGTTGAATTTTTGAATGGATGTGAACTGAGGACGTGGACCGATCCAAGGCGCTCGAAGCAGCCGCCATGTCAACAATAACTGAAGTTTGAAAGACATCACAGTCAGAACAACACTGCACTTCGCCACCCATATCCCCAGCTCAAAGACCAGGTCACATAACTGCCCTTCGCCTCTATGAGACGGCGTCAGAACTCAGCAGCTCGGCACTCCGGAATCTAGCAGCCGACAGCAGCGCCGTTACCTCCTTCAGCGAGTGCAGCAGCAGGTACTGCCGCTTCTGCTGCGTCTCGATCTCGTTCAGCACGAACGGCAGGAACTGGCCCAGGTTTCCGCAGGCCACCGAGCCGAGCGCGTACGAGGTGGCCTGCTTCACCTCCTCCGACTGCGAGCTGAACGCCGAGAGGATGACCTGCTTCAGGCCTTCCACGCCGCTCAGGTCACTACCGGAGGCGTCAGTGCTTCGCGTCAGGGGCGCCGGCGCCCGAGGCGACCACGCCACCCTGGTCACTGCGACGCGACGCGGTGCGATGCGGTGAGGGGGGCTGGTGGTTACGTCTCGGAGGGGCGACTGCTGCCCGATTCGGAAACCTGGCACGTTCGGGCCCAGCCGCAGAACTACTGATCGGACCGGGCCGAGGCATGTGTTACCTGCCGCAACCGGCGGCAGCGTGTCACCTTATTGTGACGCGCGCACGCAAGCATTTGAGCAGCACGTTCCGCACACATCGAAATCCTCCCAAACGTGGCAGCCACCCCCGGGTGCACGCTCAGCAGCCGCGAAATGACAGTCCGACACGACACATTGGAGGATGCGCCTCACTTTCAAACAGAACTCACACGTGCCGGCCGATCTCGGCCACGGCCAGCAGCGAGAACGTGCGCCGGGCGTCCGAGGTGGAGGAGCTCTTGATGTCGCGCAGAAACCGCTGCACCATCTCCATGGTAACGCGGCCATCCGTCAGGCACACGGCCGCCACGCACTGCGAGATGGACGAGTACGCCTGCCGACAGGGTCGGGTCAGGTCGGGTCAGGCACACGGTCGCCACGCACTGCGAGATGGACGAGTGCGCCTACCGACAGGGTCGGGTCAGGCACACGGCCGCCACGCACTGCGAGATCGACGAGTATAACACCTACCGACAGGGTCGGGTCAGGTCGGGTCAGGCACACGGCCGGTACGATCTGCCAGGTGGGCGTGTGCCTCGGTACACGAGGCCAGGTCAGGTCACGCCAGGTGAAACTCACATCCCCACACTCCGGACGACGCGAGCCAATTCGAAACTTCTCTTTAGATAGAAAACGAGGTCGAACGCACAGAGCGCGGCTCTATGCAATCACACATGCGAATCTTAACTCCAACTCCGTCACGTATGAGTGGGTGTGGGCTGCAGATCTGACGCTGCCCTGCATCTCGTCGGGACATCTCCCTCCAGCGCGGCACACCCGTCCGCCGGCAGACGGGTCTCGCTCCGCCCCAGTCGCCTGTTTGTGAACCTGCGCGCGGCACACCCGTCCGCCGGCAGACGGGTCTCGCTCCGCCCCAGTCGCCTGTTTGTGAACCTGCGCGCGGCACACCCGTCCGCCGGCAGACGGGTCTCGCTCCGCCCCAGTCGCCTGTTTGTGAACCTGCGCGCCGCACACCCGTCCGCCGGCAGACGGGTCTCGCTCCGCCCCAGTCGCCTGTTTGTGAACCTGCGCGCGGCACACCCGTCCGCCGGCAGACGGGTCTCGCTCCGCCCCAGTCGCCTGTTTGTGAACCTGCGCGCGGCACAACCCGTCCGCCGCAGACGGGTCTCGCTCCGCCCCCATCGCCTGTTTTGTGACCCTGGCGCGCGGGCACACCCGCCGCGGCAACGGTCTCGCTCTCTCGCTCCGCCGTCCCGTCGCCTGTTTTTGTGAACCTGCCGCTCGCAGCACACGTCCGCCGGCAGACGGTCTCGCTCCGACCAGTCGCCTGTTTGTGAACATGCTCGCGGGCACACCCGTCCCGCCCGGCAGACGGGTCTCGCTCCGCCCCGTCGCCGTTTTGTGAACCTGCGCGCGGCACACCCTTCCGCCGGCAAGACGGGTCTCGCCTCCGCCCCAGTCGCCTGTTTGTGAACCTTCGCGCGGACACCCGTCCCGTCGGCAGACGGGTTCGCTCCGCCCCAGCGCCTGTTTGGTGAACCTGCGTGCGCACACCCGTCCCGCCGGCAGAGACGGGTCTCGCTCCGCCCCAGTCGCCGTTTGTGAACCTGCGCGCCGCACACCCGTCCGCCGGCCGACGGGTCTCGCTCCGCCCCAGTCGCCTGTTTGTGAACCTGCGCGCGGCACACCCGTCCGCCGGCAGACGGGTCTCGCTCCCCCCAGTCCTGTTTGTGAACCTGCGCGGCACACCCGTCCGTCGGCAGACGGGTCTCGCTCCGCCCCAGTCGCCTGTTTGTGAACCTGCGCGCGGCACACCCGTCCGTCGGCAGACGGGGGCTCGCTCCGCCCCAGTAGCCTGTTTGTGAACCTGCGCGCGGCACACCCGTCCGTCGGCAGATGGGTCTCGCTCCGCCCCAGTCGCCTGTTTGTGAACCTGCGCGCCGCCGCCGCTGCCCGACACGGGCTGCAGCAGCAGCGCCAGCAGCCCGTCGGCCGGCAGACGGGGGCTCGCTCCGCATCAGTCACCTGTTTGTGAACCTGCGCGCCGCCGCCGCTGCCCGACACGGGCTGCAGCAGCAGCGCCAGCAGCCGGTCGGCCGGCAGGATGTGCCGCTTCACCAGCACCGTGAAGAACTCGGACATGGTGCGCAGCGCGGCGCCTTGCAGCAGCGGCGACTTGGTCAGCTGGAAGACGGGCGGCAGCAGCACCTGTCCGGTGGCAGGACACGTGCTTCAGACGCCGCCGGCACCGGTGTCGGCCGCGCGCACACTCCAAACAGCATCGCTACCGCGAGACGTGTACATCTTATGCCGCACTTCGGTTTGGTCTGCCGCCGCGGACAGGCGGACGAGCGCGTACCTGATCCTTTATCTGTCCCTGCCGATTCTCACCCACTGAAATTAAACATCTAGGTGTCCTGCTGGACCCTCGACCACGAACCGGGGATGGACTCATGAGCGCCCACTCCTACCCCCCCCCCCCCCAAAAAAAGGAATGCGAGTCGGCCGCACCTCGAGCATGAAGCCTGACTGGACGAGCGCGGCGGCCGGCTGCGCCAGGTGAGAGACGGATGTGAGCACAGTCAGACTGAGCTGCGCGATGTGCAGGTCGGCCTCGGTCAGCAGCGGCGGCAGCTCCGACAGCACCGGCTGCAGCAGCTCCGCCGACATGTAGCCAGAGTAGTTAACCACCAGCCGGTCCAGCAGCGTCAGCGTGGCCAGCTTCAGCGCCCGCTGGTTCTTCCTGAGGGCGCGCGGCGGGGGCCGTGGCAGAGAGCTTCGGGGAGCTGCCGCTCAACATGCCGCAGACAGGGCGCGGCTGCCCAACGGGTCCAATGGTGATGACCAAGATGATTTGCGCTTTGGCGCGCTGCGACTACCATGTCATATGGCGCCCATTGCACGCCATTTGTGAAACACTTTTATCACCTGACGACGCATCTCAAGCTGTACGACACATACCAATCCACAGACGACAAAATCCAACCCAAAGCAGCGACCGCAACTGACCCAGCCGTCCGCTCGCCCGCACCAGCCACATTGCCGTCGCCTCGCGCTCGTCTCTCCTAGCCGCCTCCCCACCGCCGGCCACCTGAGGAACGAGCCGAGGATGGGCAGCGCCTCGCCGCCTCCCGCCCGCCCGCCGCGTCGTCTCCTCACCACCGCCACCCACCTGAGGAACGAGCCGAGGATGGGCAGCGCCTCGCCGAGCACTACGCGCACGTCGATCTTGAGCGGCGAGGCGGCGATCATGGTGAGCGCCTTGACCGTGGTCAGGCGCGTGATCTCGTTGCGCAGCCGGTCGAGCAGGATCGGCAGGCAGGTGGGCAGCTGCGCCTGCAGGTGGTCGCCCAGCGAGCTCACGATCTGGCCCATGCAGCCGATCGAGCGCTCCTTCACCTCCTGGTCGATGTCGGCGGCGCGGAGCTTCGACAGCGCCACCGAGTAGATGTCGGCCGTGTACGGCGTGAAGTCGAACTTGCTGGCCGTGTCTGCCGGCGGCGGCGGCCCCGTCACAATGCTGGCGGGCCGGACGGCGAGCTGGGAGTTTGGCAGATGAACGTCTAAGGTGTGTTCGGGGACTGTTCAGTTTGGTTGTTTATGTCCGATGACGACAACCATGAAAACTGACACTAACTAAGGCAGATTTATCGGACACAAGCATAAACTAAGAGCATTTCGCTGAAAAAACGCAAAAATGAGCGCCAGTCATCATACCCATGGTATGCTGCAAACCCATACGCAAGCAGACCCAAGGCCCATTACGAGCGGCCGCCAGCAATATCCACAGCGGAACCTGGGGAGCATGACGCCAGACCGAAGCCATAGACTGTGTGCCATGCTGGGAAGTCAGGACACAACAGACTATACCTACCGCTATCGGAACCACTGATGCCAT